TGGTGACTCAATATTGAATAGAATGCAACGACAGTTAAACAGTGTGATTTCCCAGGCTAGTTTAGAAATAGTGATACAGCTTTCATCTGGCTGCTTCTGGAACATGCATCTTTGGAGACCTGAGCCATCAGGTAAGAAGTTCAGCTATCCTGAAACCAACATGCTGGAGAGAAAAGACCATGCAAAGAGATCACACAGAGATAGAGGAGGATGTTCAAGAAAACCTAGCTATTCCAGCCCAGAGCTCTTAAAGTGTACTTGTACTGGCATCACATCTGAGTCCATTGTGAGCTACTGACTTAACTGCAACCTCATGAAAGACCTTGAGACAGAACTCCCAGGCAGATGCTCCCAAATCCCTCCTCACGGAAACCATTAAGGATAATAAATGATTATTGTTGTGTTAAACACTTTGTTTTGAGGTGATTTTTTTTTTATATAACAGTAGGTAAATAATACAAGTTACCTCTTGGTAATTCTTAGATTAAAGTTAATAACAAAGTGTAATTTCTGCCTCAAAAGTAGATAAATCTCCTCTCTGAGAATAGAAGGAAACAAAAAGATTTAGAAGATAATTGTGACTGAAATTATGGCATCTTTTACTGTTAAGAGTGCTTGTTTGTTGTAGGCCCGTGGAATAGAAAAATCATTGGATTTGGTGTCAGAAGACCTGCCTTTAGATTTTTGCTCTGACAGTTATACCTGTGTGACATGGGGGAAACAACTTAACCTTGCTGAGTGTTGGTTTTCTTCCTGATGAAAGTGAAGATACAGAACTTGGTATTTAGTTGCTGGTGACATATTTTTAGAATGACATTTATAGACTGGAGTGTGTCAAAGGAGGGTAACAGAGGATCTGGAAATCATGTCACATGAGAAATGGGTGTAGTAAATGGAGGAGTGTTACTTAGAAAAATAATTTTAATTTGATTCCTTCCTTAAGATATTTGAACAATTCTAATATTGAAGAGGAAATAGATTTTGTGTATCTTTTGAGGGCAAACAGGAAACAGTATGTTGTAATCCTAGGTGTCTTAGTGTATTAATGCTGCTGCAACAAAATACGACAAACTGGGTAATTTGTAAATGACAGAAATTTATTTCTCACAATGTTATATGCTGAGAAGTCCAAGATCAAGGCACCGGCAGGTTTGGTGTCTCGTGGGTGAGGGCCCAGTCTCTGCTTCCAAGATGATGCCTTGTTACTCTATCCTCCGGAGCGGACCTACAAGCTATGTCCTCACATGGTGGAAGGGCTGAAGGGCAAAAGGGCCTAGCTATTTGCTCCCAGCCCTTTTATAAGATTACTAATCCCATTCATGAGGGCTTACAATTTAGTCATCTCCTAAAAGCCCTACCTCTTAATATTGTCACATTAAGTGTTAGGTTTTGATATATGAATTTTGGGGGACACATACATTTAGACCATAGTAATAAGGATCTAGATTTTATCTTATACAAAGATTCCTTTTTAAATAATTAGATTCATTAGAAAATATTATTTGAGATCCTTCAACTGTAGAAATGCCAAGGAAAGCAAGTTTGGTTATGTTTTCTGGGTTTGGTACACTGACTTTCTAGTCATCTTCAAGAAGGCCAAACTCTTTTCCTTTAAATTGTTCTTTTTTTCTATTTCCCCCAAGCATCTTCTTATAAAATGACTTTTGTTTTTCTTTATTACATAGGTAATATGTTTATGGAGAATGAATTAGAAAATACAGATAAGCAAAAAAGGAAATAAAAAATTACCAATAGTCTTACCATCATTTAGAAATATAGAAATCACTATAAATATTTTGATATTTATCTTTCCAGTTTGTGTATATATGAGGGGGTCACATATAAAAATTGGTGTTATATTCTAAATACTACAGTATATCTTTTTTTTCATTTTTAATACATCTTTCCTCATGAAAAAATTATTTCTGTGACTTTTCTGGCATTCATATTCAAATGCGAAGATGAAATTTATTTTCTGATTAAAAGTATTATCTATGATAGAACATTTATAAAATATAGAGAACTTCAGAAAGAAAATAAAACTATTATCCCAATACTCAGAGAACCATTAACAATTTGTTGGATATTATGGTCTCTTCTGTACATCATTTTTTTCTTAAAAATGTATGTTGTGTTACCAAACACTAGATCTTCCTATTCCTTTTACCTAACTGTATTTTTGTACCCATCAACCAATCCCTCTCTATCCTCTACCTCCCCGCTAGCCTTCCCAGCCTCTGGTAACCACTGTTTTACTCACTACCTCCGTAAGATCAATTTTTTGAGCTCTCACATATGAGTAAGAATGTGTGACATTTGTCTTTCTGTGCCTGGCTTATTTTACTTAACATAATATCCTCCAGTTTCATCCATATTATTGTAAATGACAGCATTTCATTCTTTTTTATGGCAGAATAATATTCCAGTGTGTGTGTGTGTGTGTGTGTGTGTGTGTGTGTGTGTGTGTGTATAAACCACATTTCCTTTATCCATTCATCTATTGGTGGAAACGATAGATATTCTAGTTCTGCCCATTTGATCATTACATATTGTATGCTTGTATCAAAATATCACATGTACCCAATAAATATGTACTATTACGTTTTCCATAATAATTAAAAATAAGCCATTTTAAAAATGTATGTGGATGTATTTTCACTAACATACTTTTTTACTAACAATACATTATGAATAGTCCCACATTTTATTAAACTCTGCAAAAATATGATTTTAAATAGTATCAAATTTTTCCTTCATATGGATTAAATCATAATGCCCTCAAATAATCCCTACAATTGGGCATGCAGATTGCCTCTAATTATTTATCACTGTAAACAAAACTGTATTTTCGAATGATAGTAACATTGTTTTTAATGGCTGTGTGGTATTCCATTGTGCAGCTATTTTTAATTCCTTAGGTTGAGTAGGTTTTTTTTAATTAAAAACATTTTTTAGGCTATAATGTAAAAATAATTTGCATTTGAAATGAAAGCAAATGAAGCATGATTGATCAAATGCTGATTATTAATTCATAAAATCCTTGGTCAGATATCTAATATGGACTTTACTAAGAGGTCAAAATGACTTTGGCAAATATATCTCTGAGTTTTCATTTGCACAAAGTAGAAAACAAACTGTCCATTCCAAGGAGCCACGTACTAACCATGGCTGGCATCTAAAAGAAGGAGTTCCTCCACATCACTCCACAGAATTTTATAAACATTAAATGAGATAAAACATCTTTCCTAGAGGAAGGAAGGGATTTAGGAGCAAGGTAAAGAGGAGCTCTCTTTCTTGCCCTGCCCCATTTATTTTTTAAGTTTATTTCAGCACAAATATATTGAGCTGCTCTGTTTTAGGTATTTGTGCTAGGAATGGGAATGCAGAAAAGATTAAGATTTAGTTCACAATATACTTTTTTTATTTCAGCATATTATGGGGGTACAGATGTTTAGGTTACGTATGTTGCCTTTGCCCCCCCACCCCCAAGTCCGAGCTTCAAGCGTGTCCATCCCCTAGATGGAGCGCATCGCACTCTCTGTGTATGCATATACCAGTCCCCTCCTCCCCTCCTTCTCTCCCCTGCCTGACATCCAATAAATGTTATTCTTATAAGTTCACAATACTTTTTAACAGCTTTATTGAGATATAGTAAACATACCACACAATTTACCCATTTAATGTATACATTTCAGTGGTTTTTAATGTATTCACAAGTTTCACAATATTTGATTTAGTTTAAGACTCATGAACATTTTTTTACTTCACAATTCCTCTGGTCCAGAAGGGAGAAAAACGTCCTTGGACCTATTCCGAGATCTGCTTCTTCCTTCGGAACAATAGTATATACCATTTATTAACACACCACTTCAGTAGTGTGAGCTCAGCACTGTGCCTACCTGCTTTACAAATATTATCTGAAAATAAGGTTTAGCCCACCTTATATACAATGACAATACCTATAAATACCTAGCATTATTGAGTATAATTATTATATCATTTAATATATGGGGAAACTTACTGCTTTATATTCCATTTTCCTTTTCTCACCCTTTCCCACTAGTTATTAACTATGTAACTTTTGCCTCATGCTTCTTCTCTAGTTCTTGAAGTTTGCTGGTCTTGTTTGTGAAGGGGAGGGATAGAGGAGCAATTAGGATTTTCAAGCTTCTGAAGATAATCACAAAAACTGGATGATTTACTTTACATACTTTTTTGTAGGGAGAAAGAATCCTTGTGCAAACAGATAAGGTGAATGCAAGACCACTGAAAGGATGTGGCCAAATAATACTCACTTCCAACCCTCAGTTCTGATTTAGAGAGATATAAAAACATTTTCTTTCTATAAACTTTTAAGTATTTGTTATTTTCAACCTAAGATTTGCTTTTCCTCCTCAGCTGACGGATCTAACCCTCTTACCACTTAGCTAACTTCTCTGTACTATGAAGTAATTATTGTGCAAATGTTTCTGTAGTAAACTTGTCCTTTTGTTAAAAAAAATACGAGATGAAAAATGTGTTACTGTGTGCTGAAGTATCAGTGGTGAGGATAGGAATAGAAAGAGACTTCCGTAACTTTGGACAGATATATATATAGCTAGAAAAAACCCAATTTTCCCCAAACCCCAGCACAGAAAAATTCAAGTTGGCTAACTTTTTGGCACTGAGTTAGATAATTTATGTAGTTTTTGGTGAACAGTGAACATTACGACAGCTAACTTTTCTACTAGTTCTAAATTAAAGGACAATGATTAAACAGTTTTAATCTGCAATTTCAGGTTAGTTCCTTTGATAATTATTTCTTTAATGTTTAGTATTGTTTAATCGGAATTATATTTTGTATTTGTCCTACCAAGTTAGTTATTACGTTTTATTTTATTTAATGTATTTTATTTGTCCTGCTAAGCATTGTGTACTATCCTTCTGAGTTTCGGCTTTTTCTCCAATGGTATTCAAAGAAACTTGTATTCTAATGGTTTTATTTTATTTTGTTTTTCTAGGAATCAGAGAATAATAAGTTATGCCCCCTATATTCCTTCCGAAATACCTCTACCTCACCACATAAGCCTGACGAAGGGAGTCGGGACCGCGAGATAATGACCAGTGTTACTTTTGGAACCCCAGAACGCCGCAAAGGGAGCCTTGCCGATGTGGTGGACACACTGAAACAGAAGAAGCTTGAGGAAATGACTCGGACTGAACAAGAGGGTATGTGTGGACTTAACTCTTGGGTTTTTTTCTTCTAAAGATTCTAAGCCTTAAAAAAATGAGTGGGATTTCAAGAGCGAGAGAAGTGCATAATTAGCACTAGCTAGGAAAAATTTATTCAGATTGTGATCCATTAGGAGTGTTAAGCAGTTAGCTCCATTTTTCTAAAACTTTGTGTGTTTTATTTGGTTCTTATGATAACAGATCAAGATTTTAAACTGACTGTAAGTTTTACCCCGGGAGAAAAGTAGAAAGGGAATTTTCCTAACTACAACTTTATTTTTTACTTATTCTCTCTTATTTCCTTTTGGTGGATAGTGTTTCTTTATGAAAATATCAAGTGTTTAATAAGCAAAATTTTAAAAAATTATTTCATTTTTGTAAATATCATAAATTTATGAATATTATATCACTTTACTTCCATATGTTATAGAATGGAGTGTCGAGGGCTTCAAATATTGTTAAAGCTAAACATTCAAGGGTAAGTTCTCTGACGTGTAGCATCTGCTGCAACGTCCCACATCTCCCTTCTCTGCTCTGGACAAGAGTCCACTCAGGTTCACCTGGAGCCTAGAAAACAAAAATGAAAGAAGATTCTCTGGTACTATTTTTAAACAAAATAAATCAAGTCTAAGTGATTGTTATATTTATGTATGTGCTTTCATTTTTTATGTACAGATTTTGAGGCCTTAAAATGTAGGGTAGTTAATAGCTCTAGATTTGTTACTAGCATTGTAAGTTAAATTCAGACCTCCCTGTGACACTATAGCGAAATTGAGATTAGATATAAGGGAATTTTTCATGTAACTTAATTTTATTCCTTTAAGGGCTCAAAAGTTTAACGGTATCCAATTAATTTTTGTAGAATTCTTTCTAAAATGTATTGCATGGTTCCCTGTTTTATTAACCATATTACATGGCATACGATGTAAATATTTTTTGATGACTCAGGATCACGATGACGTAGACTAGGAATTCTAATACTTGTTTAACAGTTACGTGACTCCGAGTAAATTCTTCGGTCTCTGTGAGCCACAAAAGTTAAAATTTGGTATGGTACTATTACCTGACTTGGTAACTCAAAAATTTTGAGAATTAACCATAATAATGAATATGAAGTCTTTTATGAACTATAAACTGTGTAAATTTGAGGTGTTGTGATGATTATCATATTATAAATGTCAATTATTTTACTGCACTATAATGTAATGATGCCCCTGGAGATCATTGAGATAATTAGGACCGTTTGACTATATGGTTATTTCTCTACAATTGTGAAACTTTAGAGTTCTTGTGTCTGCTTAATGCATCTGTGTATCTTTTTTGGTGTGTGTATATGTTGGTTTACCCTTCTTAGATATCAGGTTGCAGGCTGTTATTTCTTGCTCAGTTGTAAATAAATTCTAATTTGCTCCTTCCATTCATCTGTAGATTATAAAATTAGGCGATCAAGATATTCTGGACTATATTTAAAGTATGAACAAGTATGTTCTTGATGAGTTGCTGGGAGATTCTGGGTAATATACATTATCTTTAGTGAATATACTTTGTGCTGACTCTTCTGGCTTTTCAGAGACTTTGTTTTCCTCATTCTTGGCTATATTCTGAATAACTGAGGTTTCTAGATCAATCACCTCTGAATAAGTGAGATTGCTAGATTACTTTTAATTGTGATTCATCAAAAGGATGGTTTTAATTCTGTAAGTAAGTGATTTTCAAAATAATTTAGAAAGCTCTTTAATGTAAAAATAAAGAAATCGGTATGTGTTTTTTTCTGGATTACTAGCGAATTTTAAATCATTTTTTCTTGCAAATAATGGTTAGTTTTATATTCTTCCTCTTCATTACTATGTGTTATGGTTGATTTTGTACAAGAGAAACACTTGCAAGGAGTCCTTGATCACTATTTTCCTACTAGCAAATAATTTTTAGACATAGTTTACAGATATTTGATTATTTTTTACAGTACGTATGTTTTAAACATCAGAAATTCAGGCATCTTTAGTGTATATTTCTGTACATAATATATTACATACAAATATGAAGTGATAGCATGCATATCAAATTTACTGATCCCACAAATCTCGGAGGAACAGAATATATACAGGAAACAAAACTCAAAAGGTTTTGAGTTTGACAAACTGGAAATATGAACTGAAAACCAACTGTCAAGGTAAAATTCAATAGATCTTATTATCAAGTTCAGAAATCCAAAATCCCTGGGTATACAAATAATTACTGAAGGAAATATAAATAGCAGCCACATGAATGAAAAAAAGATCTTATGAGTTTTAGGTGACAGAAAGTGCAATGGGGTCAGCATGGTGAATACTGCCAGAAAATTGCCTTTGCTATCTCAATCAGCATTATGAGAAGTACAATATGAAACTTTCAAGAGATGGTAGTCCCACTGAACTCCCTGCTCAATAGAATATATCTAAGTATTTTGGTGAGTTCTGAATTACCACACTTTAATAGGGACTCAAAAGCAATGGGATGTTCTCAGAGAACAATTGACATGATCATAGAGAAAAAATTATATAATAAAAGGAATGACTGAAGGAACTAGTAATATTAACCCTAGAGAAAAGGAGATCAAAGATGACATGATGGGTCTTTAAGGATTAAAGTCACATGGAGGAGGGATTGGGTTTATGCTATCTAGCTTCCTGAGGATAGAATGCAGATCAATGACAAGAAGTTATAAGGAACCAGAATATGGTTGATAAGACCAACTATGTAACAGTCATAGCTGTCTATATGAAATAATCTTCTTTGGAAGGTAATAAATTGTCCATCCTTAGAGGTATGCAGCAATCTCAATTGCCATTTTAATTGGGCTATTGTAGAGGATAGAAGATTGGTCTTTTTCCAATACTAAGACTGTGATTTTTTTATGAACGATATTCTATAGCTCATGGTATATCCTTTTTATGGCCCTAATCAAGAACTATGTAGTATTATGATTAAATTTTCTACATGTTTTTCTTCTTCTGTGCAAGGCACTGTATTTAAACTCTGAAATTCTTAACTTCTTACCTTTTTTTTCTGTGCATCCCTTTGATAGTCTAGTGAAGCCTACAGATCTTATCTTAGAATGGTTTTAAGTGCACAAAGTAAAATACACAGAATTACAGAAAAAATGAATTGTATTAAAATGCTAAATAATTAAAACAATTTGTGATATGGTAGAATGTGCTAGTTTACTAATACATTAAAAACAAGATCTAATGGAGGGCCTAACAATATCGTAATTTTGAAGTAGTGATAAGCATGAAAGATATTTTGAGATATCTACAAGTATAATGTGATATAAAAATATCAATTGTGATACTATTGGTGATGATGTCATAGGTACTACAGATACGCTATGGTTTGTTGCCTGCATCCATAATTTATGGAAATGCAAATTTTCAATTAGAGGTTAGTGAAAAAGAATTTTTTTTCTGTCGAAGTTCACAGACTCCCTGAATTCTATCCATGTCTCTTGGGGTCTGTGGACCTCAGGTTAAGAACCCCTATGCTAGATGACATGGCATACAACCCTAATGAATATAACAATCATCTCTAACTTTAAAGAATTTATATTCTAGTAAGAGATATGACATATACAAAATGAACTCTAATTCAATGTCTAATATATGTTATATGAGAGTTGTATAGGTGAAATGTTAAGATAGTTTACAAGATAGACAAATTGTTCCTGTCTAGGAAGCCGTGGAAAAGTTCTACAGGGAAATGGGTCTTAGCTTGTCTTGGAGAATGAATGGTTTTATATAGATAGAGATGGAGGCGAGAGGCATTTTCAGGCAGAAGGAATAGGCAGAGAGCTTTCAAACAGTCAACAATTCAGGTTCTAACTTAAGATGAAGATGCAAATGGTATATAAGATTGAAAAAGTAGGTTATGTTAAGATCATGGAGGCCCTTTAATTCTTGGCTAAGGAGATTGGACTTTATATTGAAGGTGATGGGGGAGCCACTGACTATTTTTTAGCACAATAAGGTGATGGATTAGAGCTTTCCTTCAGGAAAGTTAATCTGGCAGCACTGTTGACGATGAATGGGAGCAGGGAGAGACATTAAGGAAATTGTTTCAGGCTAGAGATAATGAGGCCCTGAACTAAGGCAGCAGAAATGAGGAAGGAAGAGGGGTGCATATGGAAAAGACATTAGGAAATAGAATTGTTAAGACTTGATGTTTGAGTGTAGAGACCAAGAGAGAGGAATGATTCAAAGGGAGCTCAGAGTTTTTAAACTGTGGGTAAATAGGAGGGTGATGATATGATTAATAATAATAATAATGATGAAAACTGGAGGTAGATGTTTTGGAGATGGAATCAATGAGAATTTCTATTTTTCATCCTGAGTTTGATATCTTGAGTTTGAATCTTTATTTCCATTATCTCCTTGGAGCAATAGAACAGAATAGCATGGGAGAACAGAAATGATAATAGAAAAGGTCATTATAAAAAAAGTATAGGATAAATTTTTTATTCTAAAATAATTATATTCTGGGTCTAAGAAGGTATAACAGCTTCCCCAATATTTGCCTGGCTTTGACCCTTTAAAGTTTCAGGTCCATCTCCTCATTTAGGACATATTTTCTCAGGGGACATTTAAGAGCTTTTAAATGCATTACTCGCCTCTCCCTCACTTGTACTTCATGGTTTGAGGGCCATACTTCGTGATTAGCTGATTGACAAGCCTGTGTGATTGATATAATAAATGATGACCTTTCTTGAATCATTCTTGTTCTGGAGAATATTTTGATTCTTTATCAGACTACATACCTTCCCCCTCATTTGCGCTTGTATGTAGAAACTGATTTATAAAAAGTTTATTATGATCCTTTTAAAAACATTATTTGCATGATGAAACAAAAACTTTCTAGGTAGATGCTTTGATCAACCAAATTATTGTCCAGTGTTTAATCTGCCACTCCTTCAAGAAATACCCTCCCTGAGCATTGATTTGACTAGATTGCTAAATGCTGTTGAA